TGGTTAGTAGCCAGTCTGTACATAAATCCGATAGCCTGATCAAGCAACTCGACTGATACAAATTGAGCCAAAGGAACAAAGGGAGTGGTGGGTGGGTGACAAATTGCTGCGAGTTGAGGAATGTATGCGAGCTAGAAAAGTCGGGAAAAACGGCTATGGTTGTCGACGAAACGGAAAATGAAGCATGGTATGATCTTGCCTTCCTTGGTGCTCACTTGGATGCTGATGCCGGCTGCGCTTTTGGCATCTTGGCTAATGGCTTCGAAGTGTCCGTTAGAGACCCTGGGGATGGTCCCAAAGCATATCCACCATGCCGGAAGTTTCCCATTCCAGATTTCACATGTCAAAATACGCAAAAAGCGCACAATTAAACGGACATTTTACTTATGCGCCTTCTCAATTGATGAAGCTGATGGTTTGCAGTGCTTCTGCGGAGACCAGAATGAATGCCTGCACTGAAGTGGATTGAAGTGTCTTGCTTCTCATTGAAGAGGAATCAGATCTCAACTTGAATTACCACCCAGAATACTTAGGCTGTTATACCGTACTTCCCGCCAGAGAGTGCGTAACAATTGTTCAGGACAGCAGATTGGTATGTGCATACCTGGGACGTATTTGAGGTGCTATCTTGCTGTCTAGTCTCTCCCAGTATAATTTGAGACTTGACCCCATGGGCGCTGCAGTCACTCAGACCAACGAAATAGAGGCCACCAAGCGGCAATTACAAGTCCCGCATTTTTTCGGGCGCACCAGTGTTTTGTCATGCTCAAACTGATCGCTAGGTGCTAGGGAGATCAAGGAGAGTGCCAGAAATGGATCCCTCATTGGGCTCTTTGCTAGCGGTCGTCCGAAAAACCATCCCAACAGATGAACCCATAGATGGGACTCGTAACCGTGGAGTCCAATGGCATCTCGAAACATACACACTGCGGACAAGGACAATTACACCATTCATAGCTTTGACAGGTGATTCCCACATCGGAATCAGTAGGGATTATTCTCTCTGTTTCTGGGGGTATGGAACTTCATGGTAAGCGAGCCTCGTCGGGAGAGGTTGCCACATTTTGAACTGCAACGCCGTAAGTATTTTATCACCGCTTACTGCCGGACAGGTGTGATCTCATATTATTATCCGCCCCATGACCTTGCCCTTTTGGCTTATATTTTTGTAATAGACTTGCCAACAAGATATATATATTCACTGCCTGACGATTCCCCTCCTTATACCCAACCATAATGTCGGATTCTGCAGCGGGCTCTCTGAGCGCAGAAAATGTCTCAGCATTGCAACGGATTGTTGCCCAGATCATTTCACAATTTATTGTCTTTGGTATGCATTACTACTATGACCTTGTCAGCATCTCATTGACATTCAAGGCATGCACATCACTCTTGCCCTCATTGGTGTATACCTTCTTATGTGAGTCTTTGCAATAATTTTGGGGAATTGTCGATTGATTGAGTACAGACACCACCACCGTGTTGGGAGTCCAAGAGCACGTATCAGCTTGATAGCTCTGACTTTTGTCATGTTCTCCGCAGCGTTAATTGGGAATGTCATTACCATGAAGGCAGTGAGCACCAATATTGCTAGCTTGGGACCCAATCCACCAGTCTTGGACCTAAACTATGCTATTAGCTCCACAATTGCTGCAGACAGCCTCCTGCGGCTAAATGTGTGTTTCATGCTCCTATAACTTCATATGCTCATTCATATTGTTCATCAGTGGATCCTCAGTGATGCAGTGGTTGTGTGGCGAGCATGGACTCTGTGGCGTAAACACCGTACTATCCAGATCATCCTTATAGTATGCATGTTGGCGTCAATAGGTGTGTTTGGAAAATAGGTTGGGTGCATTCTTCTCATTTGATTCTAGCAACAGTGACCGCCGACATGGCTCGAATCGCCTTGAGCCTTGTTGGCAAAGGCCCTCTAGTCGGTTCAGGACCATTCAGGCTACTGGTCACCTTGGCCCCTTTGATCACAAACATCACTGCCACAATCTTGATGTCTGTGAGGGCTTGGTATGTCAAGTCGAACTGCAGTCATGATTTGATTGAAGATCATAATCACAGGCAGTATCGACAAGATGTGTCTACACTCGGCCTGAATAATGGGCTAGTGGAAAAGATCTTATTCTTCCTCGTGGAATCGGGTTTCGTATACTGCATAATTTGGGTGAGTCATGTAGCTTCTAAGTTGCGCGTATTCCAAACCTTTGCAGATATTATTTATGACCACTGAGATCTCCTCCACCGTCCCAGCAGAGAATATCTCAGCCATTATGAGCGGGATGTACATCAGCCTAGCAGTATGTCATATTTACGCGACGACTCACCTGATTTGAATACCAACAGGCAATGTATCCGACAATTGTGATCATAATTGTTGCAATGGAAAGGTCCTGCGCCGACAGTATCCCCGAGTTCTCCAACACTAGTCTCAAATACTGGCAACACCCGCTCTCGACAAATCAGAGTCCCAGCCAGGGTCACAGCAGTACTCTGGCCAATGCTGACTCAGTGTTCTTGGAGCTGCAGACCACATCGAGTGACCAGAACTACGGGAAAGAAGCACATGAGGTGTGAAATAGTTATACAGTATGGTCATGGTGCAACCCATCCTAGAAAGGCCGGTCCATACCCATTAATACTAAAGGAGAGAAGTATCTGCAAAGTCTACAACTTTATCATATCTGGGTTTCTTGAACCAGTGGAATAAAAAGTACAAGTCACGAACTTTAATGTGCATCAAATCTTGATATTACTGGGTGCTGGAGGGTGCAACAAGCGTGCCTGTCTTCAGTTTCATTCAAGCTTCATAGTTAGGCAATGGGGCTATGCTAACCTGTTGAAAAAGAGCGTAAACTTGTTCCAGCCCATAGGAATGCTAGAGCAAATAAAACCCCTTACAAGAGTGTGTAACCTTGTGTAACCCGTCGGATTCTGTATTACACCTTGAAAGAGGCATCAGTTCCAAAACAGATGGCTCTCAGGGTTGATTAAGGTTGATTCCGGTTGATTCAACATTTGATGCACTCTTATCCGAAAACTCGACAGTTGATTGGAGTGCTGAGCCTACACCGATTCCAACTTATCCGTCCTTTGACCACCATCACTACCAGCATTTTCAGCTCACAGACAACCTCATTGAAGCTCGGGAAATCCGTGACTAGAGGGAATCAGTGGAACCAAAGAAAAAGGAAATAATGGGCGGCCGCCGAGCTGACCGGTCGGGCTACCCGATTCGAATTAGGCCAGATCAGGAATCATCAGGTAGTACTCTATACGTTTCAACCAACAGCTAATAATGTTTTCTCGGGGGCCGTCCCCATTAGCGCATGAATATCGGGTGTTGAAGAAGAGTAACGACGTCACATCCTGTGACAGAACGCGCTTTTCTCTTTATTTTTGCAACGGTAAAATTCTTCGCTCTGCGCTGGGACTTGGCTCTCCACCCGCAAATGAAATCCATCGCCAAGAGGAATACTGAAATGCAGGAACCCAGCTGTCAGCGGCCGTGAGGTTCCACCACGTCATTCTCGAGTCTGATCGCACTAAGTATTGTATTATCTGACCATTATTTCACAACCGATATTCCCGACGAGCAATCCGAGGACAAGATAGGCTGGACCAGAATGATGCTTATCAAGTCATATTGAAGCTCTTGGACGCCACCGTAGTGAGTCCTAACCAGAAGGACCGCTTTTAAACCCGGTCAAGTTCGCAGGAAGCACGTAGGAAGTTGATCATGAATATAAGTAATGCTCGAGATGCTCTTAGCTTGAATGAGAAGAGACGGGTTTCCTTTTTTGTCTCGTTTGAAGATGTTCCTGTCAGCAGGCCAAGCGCAGTCGACCGCAGTCCGGCGCAGCAGCCTCGAGCTGATTTCCTCAATTTCCCGGGTCTGGCCGGCAAGTCTTCTCAAAAACTGCTTATTTGTAATCACAGCGAGCGCTTTCACCTTCGCAATCTTTGCTATGCTGGTCGCCGACGAGTCCAAAACTCTTGACTGGGAGCAGAAGCATGACGGTCATCGGAACATCATACCAGTCGTTTTGACTCACGTCGATTCAGAGACACCTCCAGTCAAAGCCACTGCTCCAACTGAAGCACCTCCACCGGCATATGACTTCAAAAACCAAGCCAGCTCTGATGTGGAGGCTCAGAGTCAACCCCAAGATTCAGAACCTTCACCGAATAATTCCGCAGAGCCTTCTCCAGAACCATCATCCTCACCTATATCTCGCTGCGGAATTTTTCTTAGTATCCTCTTCTGCGGCTGCTGCTGTTCTCCAGTACGGAGGGTTCCTCGACAGGTGTTGTCTTCTTCTACCACTGAAGCAAAAGACACACTAATATCAAGAGAAACAGAAATGGTAAGAGCGTCGTCACCATTCTAGCAAAAGTTGCTGTTGACCGAAATTATCTCTAGAAGGAACTCACTAGAGCCAGTAAAGCTGGAGAGCGTAAGGAATCTTCCGGGGAGAGTAAAGAGAGTCAGGAATCTGCCGCTGATGACAAGGGAAACAGAAAGGAGCGAGTCTCGAACCAAGACGTCTAGTAGATTACTAGCGATTCGTCGGCCACTCGGCAAATGCATGTTCTAAATTCTCAAGTAGTTTTTACTTGTGGAATATCCAGTCGGCTGTATTTATTGTACATCGTTGTATTGGATCGGTTTTCTGTACGTGAAGTCCTACTTGAAACTCGACATATGACGGTGTAGGAACAACCCAACTTGCAAAAATTTCGCCCAATCAAACAGAAGCTGTCGCCATCCACCAGAAAGCGGATCTGCTTCACCAGACTTGAAATTGATGCTTGACGAATTGCAACGTTTCCTTCAGATCCTGGAAGAGCGTGGCGCAGACACGACAAAGGTTCTGGAGGGACTTTTTGAGACGATGCAAAATGATTCCCGCTAGCCGATTTGAACAGTCGTGCTTGAGGTTCAAATCAGCCAGGTCGCGGGGCGAGCAATTCAGGCGACAAAAAGCTTCCCTCTAGCTGACTCGAACAACTGACCTCGTCATACATAGGACTACTAGTGACGCGCTCTACCAACTGAGCTAAGAGGGATAAAAATAGCGTTGAAACCGTTAGTCAAGGCGCTGGAGCTGGCTATGCAGCGGCTACGATAGGCTGAATACTTGACTCTTCCCTGCAATGGACGTCCGAGGTTGTCAAAGTAAAAAAATTTAAAAAGAAAATCAATCTCGCATGTCACAGCCGCGCCAGACGCTACCCCGGGCCCGGTTGGTTTCACCAGTCATGTCGCGTAGGATAAAGGTCTGCTTTTGAAACTGCACCTTGCTAAAAGAGTGAACGATCTCCGTAGCTCCTGGTGTCCGAGACTCGCAAAGGGTCTGTCTCTCATCGCCATCACTCAGCTCTCTCAGCTTGCTCAAACTGATACCAGTCTCGAGTTCTTACCCGTCGTATTCCAGCACGTTCACATTGCCGATATACCTCCAGAGAGCCTTATCCATGGACACAGAAGGGAACGAATAAATATGCAGGACAGGTCACTGTCTGCTGCCTCAAATTTCTTCAAACATCACTCCTTTGAAGTTGGTGCCTGTTCATTCCATTGTCATGCAACATCTGGTCAAATTATGGCCTGCAATACCGTTCCTACATGACCGCCTTGAACGATATAGGACCTCCTCTGAGGAATCCCAGTCTCTCCAGGACCTGCACTAGTGTTGGGTCGGGCAGGGCAAGGCCGGGTATTGACCGGGCAGGGCAGGGCAGCATAGGGCAGGGCATCATCCGGATCAATGCCCGAGCCCTGGGCCCTGATGGCAGGCAGGGCAGGGCAGGGCAAGGGCAAGGGCCCGGGCTTTGTAATCTTATCTTATCGAGATACATTTCGCTGTAAATTCATTGAATATGTATTCACAGTAACAAGTAATATGAACTAATCTTGTTGTGCTCGTCAATTCCATCATCATGTGGCATGGGGCAAGAAACAGTGATTTTAGATTGGCGAAAGGATGCGAACGATTCTGGAGATCATGTGATACTCTACAGTATTGGGTATTTCCGAGTCTCCGGCAGCTCCGATTGAAAGTAGCTCCGATTGAAATTTCCAACTTAAAAACATCGGATCCTTCATCCACAAAAATCTCAAAATAACTATAGTGCTGAAAGCCCCGGGCAATGCCCCGGGCTCAGGCTTTTCAGAATCAATGCCCGAGCCCTGAGCCCTCCTCTGCCCGATGACGAAGGCAGGGCTTTTGAGGGCAGGGCAGGGCAGGGCAAGGGCGGGCATCAGGGCAGATGCCCTGCCCGACCCAACACTAACCTGCACGAACACATCATCGCCATCTTCACTGCCCTGACCCATGATCATGAAGTGCTAGAGATCATGGTCTTTCAGCCAAGTCTTCTCGACATTATGACACGAATATGGGTCGTCAAAGCCGAAAGTCCTATCCAGACTGTTCCGAACAAATCGGCCAATGGGATACTCGCCAGTGCGGTTGTGATTCATCCCAAAACTGTTCCCTTTTCACGAAGCGTGTTCCCTGCAGAAAATGACTTTGCCTCCTTACTCTACCAAATCACACCTATGGCAGACGCGCTTACCTAATCTTTTGATCTCGAAGGTACCCTATTATGTCTGTGCATTCCCGATCGGGTCACCAACCTCGGTTCTGGAGGTCGGTTTGTCCATTTTGGGTCCCCAACATGCATTTTCCAGCTCATTTTTTCAATTATGCAGGTGTTGTTCAGGATAGTTTAGCCTTTTACCTCTCCCATAGAGTAGCGACGCATACAATTCAGCCATTTCCCGAGCTCCAAAATCGATTTTTCAGCTCTTTTTAGGGGGTTTAGGGGTTTTGGCTTCGGTTCCCGGCATTGGACATGGTGTTCTGCATATACGCGTATTTCTTTGCCATTTCTACGCGACTTGGATACCAAATTTCAGGGGTTTCTGGAGCTCCGAAACGAAAATTGCGGCTGCTTTTTCCGGTTCTCAGGTGAGGTTTCCGTGAAGATTCCTGATGGTTCAAAACTTATTTCGCTCTTTCTTCATCGAATTGGCCAATGGGAGGGGAACCGCGGCAAAAGTCAGATCATGGGGCTCGGATTGCGCCACATTCCTTCTCAATTTGGATCCTCATTGGCTTTACAGGTGATTTCACACGTGGAATTCAATTTTCCAGTGCTCTCATTGCTGCACAGCTATCTTTTCGCACTATAGAGCGGAAATTCTGGCATTTGGCTGTTTTGGGGAGCTCAAACTGAGATTTCATGTCTATTTTGGGGTCTTCGTAGTCAGGTATCTCTATGATAGTAATGAATTCCTGGAAGAATACATGGTTATGCCCAGTGAAAGGTCGGTCGATGCTCTTCGATGCTCCTCGATGGCAATCGATGCTGACCGATTTTGCTCGATAATCGATTGGCATCGACTAGCATCGAGGAAAATCGAGGAGCATCGACCTGCATCTGAAATCCGCGGCCGGTATCGATGCAGGTCGATGCAGGTCGATGCAAGTCGATGCCTGTCGATTTATATGGTAGGCCGCAACTATTATCCAATAAAAATCCATAGAAATCGATTTATTGCACTAAATAATACATACCAAGTCGTAAAACTACTCGACAGACAAAAACTTACCAAGTCCACCCAACGACCGTCAAGTCAAGTCCCCGGTGTGGAATCCACTGGAGGTGGTGAATAAGTACCACCGTAAATGATAAAAGAAGGAAGACTTACTGAATCAGCTATTTCATGCGCAAAGGGTGAGCAGAAAAGACAAAAGCTGCCGTGAGCATCAGCATTTGATATTCCGCAGGAACCTGGACTTACCATGATGGTCCTGAGAGACATAGATTTGGTTAGAATATGGATAAGAAAGAGGAGCAGGGATATATGAAAATCTGGGCGGAGGTATATGAGCGACGTCAGAGGGAAAAATTAGCGGAAGACTTACCTGCTTGCCAGCGTGAAACCCAGACCCGTCACCATAAAAAGAGCATCCTTGAAGCACCATATCCACAACAGACCGAGAAATAGACCACGAAGCAGCTGTAGTCGCGTCAAATCAGCCGCCATCGTTGGTGAAAAGAACAATTGATGACTTACCGGCTCTTCTATGCAAATACAAGGCTCTCAGTGCATCCAAGACGAGGTAAAAAGGCTCTAGAGCTGTGAAAGAAGGAGCTTGTTGCCAGAGCGAAGGAAGAATCTTGAAATTGGGCCAAAATCTTACCTCGGCTGTTGGTGAGTCAAAACTCGGGAGAATGGGATATAACCCGGGATAATGACCTATGATAATAGTCAGAAGAGGTTAATGCGGAAAGTAAAGAGCTTGCTGGCCATGGGAAGCGACGGGAGCAGCCAGCTCACGGCGCTGGTGGTAAGCGAGCAACGAGGGACTGTGGGAATTTTGATTGATCTCGAAATTTCCACAAGTCCATCTTACGACAAAGCGATACGATACGAACAACCTCGGGCCTTGGTCGGGCAATCGACCACCATCGAGGAAAATCGATGAAAATCGGCGGTCTACCCAGGAACATCGGCGGTCCAACCAAAAAATCGAGCAAAATCCATGAGCATCAACCAGCATCGACTGACATCGACGGACTTCTCACTGGGTGTTATTAGCTAAGCATTGACACGTGCCGACGTTCGCACCTCTCCAGCATCGCAGGAATCAGATATGAGCCAGATACAAAGGATATAATAGTTGTAAAATGTGATTCAAAGGCATATCCCCAAGTATCAAATTATCAGATAGCTTGAATTGTCATCTGTATGCAAACCTTGGAAAATGGGGCCTAAAAGGGCAATTTCTCTTGGAAACAAGAAGGGACAAGAAGGAACTTGGGAATATAGTTTATCGAGAGGCTGTGGTGAATAATCACATAGAATTGGGCCCTTGAACGCGTCTTTCAGAGTCTCGAGGGTGACTGGACAGAAATATTAGCCGTGACTCATCAAGGGGCGACCGGGCCGGAAATCCCGGACACCGGGTCGGAGGGAGGGGGTCCACCGCCGGAGGCGAAGAAAATTTTTGCAGGTCATGGTATCAGGTCTGGATGGCTGCTAGTTAATCAGAGAAATCCTCCAGGAATTCCCATGTCTTTAGATGTGTCAGGTACTAGGTACACCTAAGCACCCAATACCTGACAGTTATTAGTGACTGGAAGAGCGCCACAGATTTGGTTTCACATACCTGTGCCTAACAGGCATAGAATATATTAAAATACCTAATAAATGACTGATAGTGCAGTCCTGGATGGAGCTCTCTCTATGGCAGACCCAGAAGGCCCAGCAGCTCAGGTAGTTGCCATATAAGATAATTCCCACGGAGGGGGGGCAGGGGGTCGGGCTGAAAAGGGCTGAAAAAAATAAATGTACGTCGTGTATTTTTTTTTTATCCGGTTGCCCCTTGTGACTCATCAACTCTGATGTCAGTTTCTGGCAGATGGGAACTGGCTGCTTATGAAAAGAATTATGTAATAAGGGCCAGCACGGTCAGGGCCCCGCGGTAACTTCAAGACTAAACATTTCAAGAATGTTGACGTGACCTGCATTGGGTAATTGATCTAAAACTGTTGATGAAGACAGTGATCGGACAACCCGGCAAATCAACGGAATTGAGCCTGCCTGGATGAAAGGTTCGTGGGAGGTCAGCGACCAGTGTTCCAACAGAATGATACTATGTACTGATTTGGCCAAGAGTTAATCCTTGGGCTGACAGGTGATTTGGCACCTATGGCAGACGACTCGATGCGCTCAAATACGCTCGTACTGACGTCGGTCCGGGATCTAGATCAGGTTTCAACAATTGCTGATGTGCCAGTGACAGAACAATGAATGCAAAGAAAATATACCAACAACACCATTGGAAGCACCACATTTGAAACGGAGATCTGATTCTGAAGGCACTCAAATAAAAAGGACATTGATATTGCTAGAAAAGCAGATTTTATGACCGAAATCCGGCGGACGAGTTCGGATCTCATTATGTGGAGCGTGTTTCGTGCCTGGTTTTCCCAGTCTGCTCAGGAAGTCGAGTGACTTCCTAACACCTGTCAGGTACCACCGATCCAGATCT